GCCATAGAAACCTTGAGCAACCAACTGCCAGTTCTTACCTGGACCTTGTACCATCTTTGTAACCTGACACACCTTTACTGTATTACCAAAATTGTCATCTCAGGTGAGCCCATGGTGTTGCCAGCTTAAAGGCAGTGAAAGCTGGGTGAGACATCAGGAGGGAACCCTCACTTTCAGAAGTGTCATTAAAATGGGAACTGTGATGGTCATAAAAACATTAAAAACCTTCAGGAATATTTAGGCTAATTGAATGTCCTTTTTGCATTACAACAACAGTGATTTGTGCAACTATTTTAGGGCTCTTGTAATATTAGCAAAGAGATTGTTACCAGAGGAATGAGTTTCTTCCAAAGATTGGCTGTCAATGTGACATTTCTGTCAACTCTTTGGATCGGATTTGTATTGCTCTTTAATTTAAATCTTAGATGTGTATATATATGTAGGTATGATATTATATATTTCTATAGTTCTTATACATGTAAATAAGGATTTTTTAAAAAGGAGATTGTTAGCTGAAACTTTAAAGGAGATGAATTAAAAAAAGGATAGTCAGGTATCTTGGGCAACAAGGAGTCGATGAGAAAATAAGGCTAATTTCAGACTTTCTGTGCCATACTAATCACTTGACAGCAACAGGTTTTTGTGAGGACTTGAGCTAAAAATAGTGCAGTATGTTTCCCTTATCCAGACAGTGTCTTTAGTCACCTTGTTTTTCCTCTATACACAGCTAGCTCTGGAACTGGAAATGAGTGAGAAGATGGGGCATAAAAGTCCCAAAGTAGCTGAATACAAAGCAAATCTGATCCAGATGCAGTTTTACCGTTTGCTTCTGTAGGTTATTGCATTAGTCTTTACATGTTTAAATTCCCTTTATAGCGATGAACATAAATGCGTAATAATTCACATAGGTTTGTTGATTGGTTTGGACTGTGTCTCTGCAAGGTGGCTACTTCCAGCTTCTGACTGCCAAATGCAACAAGATGACGGTAAAATTGAAAGGGAGAGTTCATTTTGTGTTGTAATTGCATAAAGAGGTGCACAAGCAGGAAGTGGCTGGGTTTGAGATACATGGTATGACAGTCTGTGACGAGGGACTCTTCTGCAAAGTGCCCATCTGGTCCTGAAAAGACACAGGAAATTGCAGAAGTACTGACTCAGTGCAAAACCCGAGCCTGGTAATATTGACACTGGTTTTATTGAGAAAACCAGGAGTTGCAGGGAAATGAATACAAAATAGAAACAGTTCAAGTGCTGCCTGTTTCTGGAAAGAAGATTTGAAGAATGGGAAACAATCTGAACATGTTATCTACGTTTTCTAGCCATCATCCAGAATTCTTTGTGCCGACTGACAAGAGTGAAGCCGAGAATATTGGACGTGGGGTGGTAGGCAAAGATCAGGGTGGTGGTTGAAACCAGCATTGTGGGAGGGAGAAATCTCCATTCACTTAGCCAGGGGCATAGGGGTATGTCCTACAGTCGCTGACTGTCATAGTTGTGGCTCACGGCACTATTAATGTGATTTCCAAGAAAAGCCACTCAACATTTTTCAGTCACCACAGCTGTTTCAAAATCATGAATCATCAAGGGAATGAATTTACCTTTACACATTACCCTTTTAGCTGTTCTGGGATGGTGGAGGGCGGGGGAGGGGCAGATGGAGGGGTTGAAGAATCAGCAACATGAACTTTGAAAAAATGTTTGAAATTAGAATCATAGAATGCTTTGGGTTGGAAGGGACCTTGAGAGATCATTGAGCCCAACCCCCCCTGCAGTAAGCAGGGATTGAACCTGTGAACTTGGCGTTATTAGCACCATGTTCTAACCAACTGAGCTAACCTGGCTGGTCAAATTAGTATATTTATTGGCTCTGCAGAAAGAACTATTTCTTCTCTGCTATGGAGATGCAAGGAAAAGTGACAAGCATCATTTTAATATGTTGGTTGAAATCTCAGCTCTGTGATTTTCATCTCTCAGCTCACATCCTAGCAGACAGATGCTGTCATCCCAAGCTTGCCAAGGACCACCATGCTATTTGTGAAGCATTTTGTTACAACCTGGTGTGGATGGGTGTGCTATTGACATAAACATTGCACATTTTTATTTAGGACATGATGGGCTACCTTTTTAAAAGAAACATTTCAGTGTCTTTTGCTTTAATAGGCATGGGGAGAATAGAGCTCAGACTAAGATTAGTCTGTTAAGTCTCAGCAAATCGAAATAAGCACCGTCCATGCCCATTTAAAATATTTAAGTCTAAAATTAAATTAGGCTGCATATTAGAAGAAATTCCAGTATCCTTATTAGTATGAAACAGCCTCATATGAGTTGCAGCGTAGCAATCATGGCCTGACAGTTTCAAAGTTGGTTGAAGAACATCTTTGGGGAAAGACAGGCAAGGACCATGTTTCATTGTCTGCAGGATGGACTTCAAAGCCTAAAGGGTTTTCTATATTTCTCTGGCTTCTATGAGTCAATTAGGAGTGACAAACTTTATGAAAGCTGGTATTTTTATGTAATGGGTTACGAGAGAACTGAGGTCTGTCATCCCAAACTTTGGTGGACAGCTAGATGTCTTCATCTCAAAATGATCATCACAGCTGGTAATTCATGGATAGCTCACACAAAAGGGTACTTTGCATCAATAATGTGGGAAACTTGGGTTAAAATGGGAGAGGAAGGGATGCCAAGGGATCCTTCTTATGTGTATTCTTCCAATCGTGGGTGCAAGTTGCTGTGAATCTTTCTTTTGTAACAGTTGAAGTAATAACTGCCATGTGGAGGCATTTAAAAGTTACTTTTTTTTTCTCCTTTCTCCTGTCTGGAATTTAGTCTTTCTTCACTTCTCAGTTTTGGTCCTTATGTGAGTTAGCCTTTCCCTAGCAAGTAAGACAGTAACTGGACATATATCAAATGCCTTGGGAAGGCTAAGAAAGTGCTCCTGAAAAGAACAAGCAGAGTGTGGTGTCTAGGTCAGGAGCCAAGTGACAAAGCTCACGCAGGCAGGTGAGTCTCTACAGGCACTGTAGCATGTTGATGCAGTAGTACCTCATCCTTTTGATATCAGCAGCTGGTTGGTTTCTGAGATTGTTGACTGTGTTGAGAAAATCCACAAGAGAATGAAGTCTCTACTTGTAACCACATGAAGCTTAGCAGGATCATCTGAGCAGAGCAGGCTTTGGCTGGTGCTCCCATGGTTGCCATAGCCAATTCAGCTTTGTTACAATGAGCACTTTGCTACTCCTGTTTGCTCTGAGCTATTTAGAATCTTGGAAAGCAAGTCAGTTCCTATTCTCCTGAATTGCCTAGCACCATGTGGTGTCTTACTGGTCATATTTGAAATGGTTACTCATTTCTTCCTATGCTGGTACTGCCTAATAGTGCAAGTGCCACCAGAACTGTCATTTGCTGGGTGCTGTCCCCACATGCAGTAAGAGACTGCCTGCATCCCTGAGAAGTTAGCCCCATGAGGGAGCTGAAGTACCCATCTCTGCGATAAGTGTTCACTGTCCTAAATCTGTTAGGCAATTTAGCAAGGCATTTAAGTCAGCATTCATAACAGCCATTGTGCCGAGTGTGTGTGTGGGGGTGCTTAGCATGGGCAAGAAGTGCTGAGGGGAGCACCATGTCCATAACTGGCCTTCTCCCAAGGCCTGGCCATGTAGCTGCAGCAGTGAAAGCAGTGTTGTGGGAGGGAAATTTACACAGTGAACTGGTGCCTGTCGTTGGTGGCCAAAGTCATCTTGTGTCTAGGTGACTAGTTCTCTGTGGCCTTCAGTGTGGCCACTCGTCACACCTCAGTAGCCAGAGCACTTAGCAGCTCAGGTTTGCTATTACATGTGTTCACAGATACACTCATCCTCACAGGCCAAGTGGCCCCACATCCATTTCAAGCCATCTAATGGTGAAGCCCTGAGAGGCCAAGTCACACATATGGGCTGAGAACAGGCCTACCACATGGAAGAAATGCTGAGTTTCGTAGTCGAAGCCATTGTAATTCAAACAGAAGGGGAAGAAAACATTTACTGCTACTTCTTTTGTAGCACTGCTGGAGCAGTCATCAAGAAAGGAAAGCGTGGTATTCAGTCGCTTCCTCAGCCTGACCAGGTTCAGAGCTGCAGCCCTTGCACCTCAGCAAAGCTTGGTGTAGGGGCAGCACCAGGACTGGTCTGCTTCCAATCTGGAGCATTGCATGGCCAATAACTCAAGGTTTCAGGGGCCTGTCCCTGTAGGCCACTGATGAGGGCACTCCTGAAGGATCAGGAGTCAAACCTTTGAGTTAACTCCAAACTGAGGAAGGAGCTAAACCACATTTCCACAGGCTGGCTTGTTTTCTGTGAAAGAATGAAGTGCCTCCAGAGCTAGGTGGGGTTCTCGTGAACCTTGTTTTCAGTTAGCTACTTAAATTCCTGTGTACATCTGAGCCGTACAAACATAAATCTGGGCAGTATAAACATAAAATGTACCATTGTCTTCATTTTCAAAATGGAGAACTGAAGAAGACCAGCCACAGGAAGCATGAGACAAAGCGGATTTAGGTGATGTGGATACTGTCCTTAGTCTCAAGCACATATGACTAATACACACAGGTCTTTAGATTCCTAGTCCAATGTGTTAATCTCACGATTATCTTTCCATTCCTGTTGCATGAATAGATGTGCCCTAGCAATACCTCTTTCAGCTATTTCTAGGAGAGCAGTAAATAATTTCATGGTCTGCACCTTTTTCTCAGACTTGCAAACATTTCAAGGAGCAATATCATTTTTAGGTTGCATACAAAAGTGTTTCTCCATTTCTGGAGTGTTTTGCATGTTCTTGTTTGTTCATTTCTTCATCTTTCTGTTGCATTGCAGTCCAATAATAGGTCTTCCTTTTCTCACCCACAAGAAGCTGGAAAGTTCTGTTGTACCCATGCCATATCAGGAAATGCCAGGTATGCTTGTGCAGTGCTGGTTGTGCTTCCTGCATGTGCAGTGAATCATTGACTGTATTCTGCTCTGTAGGTTGACTCCTATGATGTGACTGTGGAAGAAGACCTTGGAGAAATTCAGCTAATAAAAATTGAGAAACGAAAATATTGGTACCAGGATGATTGGTACCTTAAGTATATCACTGTAAAAACACCACTGGGTGACTATTTGGAGTTCCCATGTTACCGTTGGATTACAGATGAAAAAGAGGTTGTCCTTCGAGATGGAAGAGGTGAGAGCTGTAAGAAACCTGTTTTCCTGCGGAACATCCAGAATTCTTCCACCTCTCCTTGCCCTTTCCCCATGTACCTCCCAATCTTCTCTCTCACATGGAGACCCACTGCTAGTCCCCTTCTGCATCCTAAGAAATGTGCTTCCCCTGCTGACTAGGACTGCTTTCTGAGCAGTTTGTTTGGCTGGGCACTGGCAGTTGAGTTGGATATTTTGGGAAGCACATGCAAGGAGGACTCCTTATGCTGGCTTGTTACACTGGTCTTGAATTTGAAGGCTGACCCCAATGCCAAATTTTTGTCTGCTCCACATCTCCATTGCTGGAAGCCCTTTTGATCTAATTAGAATTAGTGTCCCATCTTTGTTTCATACTAAGCCCCTAAGTGACCCATGATTAATTGCCTGTAAATTGTCTTGTTTTCTTGAGAGTGAAATAAAATCCCAAAGTAGGCCGCTCAGCAGGTGCAAGGACTGACTTGAAACAGCAGCTTCACTTTTCACCCCTTCTCTTTGCATGCTGTCAAGTCCAGGAGAAGGCAGGGTGAGATGGATATGACTGCTGCAGCTAGTGGTAACCAACTGAAAAAAGTGTTACGACACTTCTGTCCTCTGTTCACAGTGGCCTGTTGGACCTGAAACTTGTGTTTTAACTGTCTCTGACTACCTGCTTGCTGTGATCAGGGCTGGGGCAGACATTTGTCACTGATGTTTGCTTTTTCCCCTCTGTGCTTCCTTGGGCAGGCTTGGCTGCTGTAGTGGTCTGCAGCATGAGTGCCTGAAAACAGCTGAAACAATATATGAGGTGGTAGGAAATAAATGTTTATCTTTCCATTTTGTTTTTGGGTGGTCCTGGCTGAGGAATTTGACATTTGAAGCCTTTTGTCCTATAATCACAACTATGTGTCAGTTCATTTTTGATCTTCAGAGGGACTTCCCATTTTTCATAATTTGATTTATAAAAACTGTAACACTTCCATGGAAAGCAGCTTTGTGTAGCTTTCTTTGTGTGGCTTTTTTATGGTGAGGTAAAAGACAAAAGCAAGTGAAATGCTATTGGTTACTTGAACACAACCAGCTGGAAACCGTTAGCCATGTATGTTATCAGTTGTGTTACCTGTGATATTTCCAATTCCAAACCCCAGACAGCTATTTCCATTGAACTCCTGCTGGCTTTATCTGCCTTCCCATTTATTTATGTAAAGTGAGTCATGTACCTTGCCCCTTCTTTGATCACTAAGGAAATCTCTGTGGTATTTAACAGTATAGTGAATACATGGTCAGAAGAGTAAGCTATCTGGAAATGAAGCCTCACTGGTTTTCCTTTCTGCTCTCATGATAAGAAAATATGATTATTGCTCCAAGCTGACAGAGGAGAGCACAGCTGAGGGAGAGAGAGTAGGAGATGTTTCCTGGAGATGTGCTTTAGCAGAAAAGATTAGCTGGAACAATGTTGTGATTTCTCTTATTGATGAAAATTTCCTTAGATACTGAAATGTAAAATTAATTCCCATGACCCTATTCAGACCATTTAACACTGGATATGTACAGCAAGTGCCTATGCTAGGAATCCAGGTTTTATATACAGTTGAGACAGATGTTCCTAGCTTGAGCTAATTGCGCCTTCAAGGCACCAAGTTAGGAGCTTATCTCCTTCCACAGATTCTCTAGGGACGTATGTTTTTACTTGAGTTGCTAATTGGATCATGTAAGCATTTCCCACAGAAACTTTGTAAAGGTATAGATTACAAGTTTGAAGGTTTGGAAACTTTGGTCTCCTTCTCAAGACCTGGGCAGTGATAGGTAGAGGAACCTCATAACCCTGTCTCTTTCATCTGTTTCACAGCAAAGCTCCCCCAGGATGACAAGACCCAGATTCTCAAGCAGCACAGACGCAAAGAGCTCGAGACCCGTCAAAAAATGTACCGGTGAGTTTCCCATAGCTCCTCAGCAGGTCCAGAGCCTGTTCTCATCAGGTCAGAGTTTGGCAGAGTATGTTCAGATTATCATATTGCTCTACTTACTGGACTGCTGGATAAGAGAAAGCGTAAGTCACCATGCTGGCCATATGTGGTTTTTTACTTAGATGGAATTCACTGTAAGTGATGATCATCCTGATGCAAGTGGCATTACGAGATACTTGAATCCCAGATAAGCTTATCTGGAAGGCTTAAGTGGGAATTCAGTGGCACAGTCTCTGTGTGGGTCGTCTGGCGCACAGTTGGGCTTTCAAGGAAGATTTGAAGGCAGATTTCATTTGCCTTTTACAAGCAGTACTCCAGTTTTGGAACATGATCTGAACATGTCAGCTCTTACTGGAGCTTTTTGGCTGCTGCAGCAAGCTAGTTTTAGTTGTTTCCTGCACCGGGGTGCAGTGGAAGACCTGGCCCTGTTTGAGTGGACTGGAACGTGCTATCAGAACACAGTTGTGATATGCACCTTTATACTGTCATAAGCATTTTTTCCTAATCAAGGTAACAATGTGAAAATGCTATCTTTTATCAATGGGTAACTCCAGAAGGCATTAGACATTTCCTTTTCCTAGAGACATACTCTCTGTTAAAATGACAAAAGTTTCTTGCACTTGCATCTCCTTATCATGACAGTAAGGATCAGAAGGACAGAGGGTCCATTCAGAACTGATGGATTGAGGCTTGGTGTATGTGTTGTTGATATAATTTGACTAAGAAAGGATCTTGCTTAAAAAGTATGGGAAATAGAGCAGAGGAAAATATAATTAAAAAAGAGGCGTGGCACAAAATTTTATTTATGTATGCAAAAAGGAAGGCAAAACCATTTGTAATTCCAGGGAAATAGCAATTTGCAATTCAGATACAAAACTGATAACACACAATGCAGTCTGTGTGTGGCAGGCAATTTGGAAATACCTTGGAAACAGTATTCTTTACAAATCACCTTCTTTTGTTTTGAAGTGAAAATGGGGCACAGTGCAAGAACATACATGGCAGAGAATGTGTGCCATGACCATTAGGAGGTAAGGCTCTTCTGAGGAGCTGAATCAAGACTATCTGTGTCTCCCAGAGAGTTGCCTTTTGGAGGAACCTAAATACATGTCTGAGTACTTCTAGCTGCTGTATCTCAGTTCTGCAAAAATGTAGCCCCAAGAATGAGCGTGCATTGGCAGCCGTCTGTCTCTCTGTTCCCTCCCAATACATTTGAAGCTACTGCCAATTTCAACCAAATGTGACAAGTGTTTGGAAATATCACAGATACTCCAAGTTTTGTGAAGGTAGGTGGCCAAGGAGATGTCTTCCATTGTACTTCAGGATTCTGTAGGGTAGTGGTAGGTACTGATGTGGTACAAGTCACTATTTTTGGCCCAAATGTGTCTGCCCCAAATTTACTTTATAGAGTTGAGTCACAGAAGCAGTGTAGGTAAAGGAATGACACAGCTGTCATGCTGATAAGCTTACATGACTAATGCAACCTCTCTTGTTTACCCAGCTGGAAGGAGTGGCATCCAGGCTTTCCCCTGAGCATCGATGCCCATTCTCACAGTGATCTGCCTCGTGACATCCAGTTTGACAATGAGAAAGGCATTGACTTCATTCTGAACTACTCTAAAGCGTAAGTGTTTGTGGAACATTAGGAGTTTTGAAAAATCTCTTTCGCGGCAGGGTAAGGATCTGATCACCTTTTAGGTTTCACTGAAATCTCAAAATTGGATTCTTTTCTCCCAGCTGGATCTGCAGTCAATCAAAGTAGGAAAGAATAGAAGGGAATTTTTTTTTTTTTTTTTTTTAAATATCAGTATTTTAAGCTTTTCACACTGGGAACTGACTGAGCCTCTGCATTCTCATTAGACACTGGTTTGGCTGTAGACCGATGGAGGAGGCACTGGTGAAAAGCATAGGAGGAAGGAGTACGGGCACCTGATGCCTTAGGTTTTGGCTTAGTTCTCAGAGTCGCCCCCTAGAGATACCACTCTCCCCTGACTGCGATAATTAAGCCTTTCAGTCACATACCAAAAGAAGATGGTATCAATGCACCCTTGAGACCGTGCTGAAGCAAAGCTGTTCTGAGCAGCTCATCAGTTAACCACCTCTGAGTGTAATCTGCTTGGGACAACAAAGGCATTGTCCACCCGCTTGCACGTGTCATGTCATTGAAAAAAATGGAGTCCTGGCCATTGGATGAGCCCGAATAATCAATCCTGCAGAGCTCTTCGAAAGAGTACAGAGTTGATGAGGCAAATAGGACCTCTCTGGCCTGTGAGTCCCCTTCTGAGCTGTCTCACATGCCCAGGTCCCATCATGCTATCTCAGACATTCCACCATACTATTAGGTGGTGGGAAAGTCTGAGATGAGACAAGACTGGTCCAAGATCATCCACAATTTCTACATCTGTGATTCTGTTAATATGCTGGTCTTTTCATATTTTAGAAAGGTGTTTCTCCCCTTATTTGGGTGATCAGGTGTCATCAAGCATAAGTCGGTAAGAACTAGGAAGTTCAGGAGCCATACTGAGAAACCTGTAGCTTCTAGTAACAGTGAATACTTGCTTATCCGAGTCCATCTGGGGAACTGACTGTGACTGAAACCTTACATGTCAGAGCATTCTTGGCGTTACATTTATGCAGCTGAATTTCACTACCAACAGGGTCAAATCCCATGGCTTGTTCCAAGAGAATCTACCTGCTTGTTTTCTAATTTGGAAAATTGGAAGCTTCAAAGAACACGTTTTTTCTGGCTGTGTTAGCTCTGCTGTAGATTTCTCCCTCCCTCCTCTCTCCCCCACACTAGGATCTGTTTTTCACAATGGAATGATGCTTTGTAACATCAGCAAATCTTTTTTCTTTTTTTTTAGCAGAATAAATCTCCAGCAGGTGTGAACAGGGTGATGGGTGTATTTCTGCAGCTCATATGGCCAGGTGGACCTAGATCTTTCAGAGTCAATTGGAATAAGGCAGCTGAATAGCTTTGAAGACCAGGGGTCTCTAGCTTTCTATCTCATGCAAACTAGAATGTTAGGAGGATGATGGAACAGGCCATAGAGTACGTGCTCTTGTAGCTTTTTAAGGCAATACTAGTTGTTATACCAGAGAAGTGGCTGTGGGGTCATACAAGGACTTAGATTAATGGTACAAAAGACAGATGTTTCCTGGCCCCCAAGCTTACCCAATGGCACATGTATTGCCTCAACTTTATATCTATGTTTAGACTTCCAAAGAACCGAATCTCTCATCTTTAATATGAGCCAGAAGTTGAGGTCCCTTCTCATGTCATGAAATACCTTATTCCTCAAGCAGCCCTTTAGTATTCAGCAGATTCTTAAAGCTTTAAAAAGTTTTAAAGAATGTGAGGCCTTGACTGTAGGTCCTTGGAAAACCCTAGGCTCTGGTGTCCCTCTTCCACAGACAGGTATTAGAATCTAGCCCTGCAGGGGCCTTTTAGTCAGCAGATAATGAACTTGATAATGGCCATCAGAAATAGTTCTTTGGCAAAATAAATTAAAAAAAAAAAAAAAGCCAAGAAAACTGTGGAAGTTTACACCATGTTGTTTAAAAGGCAAGTCATTTTTTTTATGAGGCCAGGAGAGATCATTCTTGAGCTGTAGTCAGGACTTTAATACAACGCAGGCTGGATTACCACACCCAGTCTTTAATTCTTAGTTTATCTTCCCTCTGTATGCAAACTGATAAGCTGAATTATCAATTTGAGTTTATAAAATTATCAAATTTGATAATTTCACCTTCTTTGCCCCATGCATATCTGTGAAGTGCGCTGAGATTCAATCAGGTGGGACAAGTACCATCTGTTCACTGTGAAAGAGAGCCAGGAGTGAGGCCATCCTGAAAAAGGGAAAAACCTATCATAGTTGTTGTGTTGTGCTGTTGTTAATAAACCTGTGGCAAAACCAAGAAGAGGTTCCAAGCAAGGGAAGAAAGCAAACACTGTACAGCTCTTCTCTTGGCCCAGCTTCAGGAAACAGTCTAGCTCAGAAAAGGCAAGGAATAACTCCTTTAAACGAAGAGGAGAGGTGTGAAAATATACAAACCCCATGCAAGGTCATTGGGATCTTCTCTTGTTACCCTAGCAATGGCAAGGTATTCCAAACTTTTAAAAATCCTATGTTTTCCAAGAGCTGTTACTTCTAGCATGGTGTTAGGCAGTGCAAAACAGCTGTTTCCCAGATCATTTAGGAGATCTGAGTGATGCAGGAACAACAGCATCTGAAAGCCAGAGATGACCGGTTTGCTGTTAGTAGACATAACCAATTTGGAGGCTACATTCCCCTTCTAGCAATCCCATCCCGCCAGTCTGTAGCATATTGTCAGAGATCCTGAGTGGCAGCCAAGTGAAACTTGGAGACAATTCAACAGAGTGCAGGAACATCTAATTTTGTCACTGGCTATAAGGTCACCTCCCCATGAAGTAGGAACCTGAAACTTTATTGCAGATAGCCAGCCATTCTGGAGAACTGGTATGACACAAAAGAGATTTTTCCAAGGAACAGCAATGCTTCTTGCCTGGCATATTTGGCAGAAAATCTAGACCTATGCTTTTGGCTGGGTGAACCATGAAAAGTTTTGGAGAATGAGTTTGATAGCCCTTATCTAGCTACCCTGTTGTGCTTTGGGAGCTTGGGACAACTATCTGCATGAATGGAGTGGGGATACGTGGGGGAAGGCATGGGGTCTTCCTTCAGTTTGAGTGCAGTAGGAAGGAGGACAGGGAGGTGCATTTGGAAATCCAAGGGCAGGTGTAGAGTTGCAAGATGTAGCAGTGGGCAGGGAGCACATTTAAGGAAAAATGTGAGAGCTGTGGGAGTTATGAGAGACTTAGGGAGTAGCGGAAGAGAGGAGGGGAAAGCCCTTTTGCTCGGGACATGCAAAACTGAACTTAGAGAGAGAGAGAGATGTCTCAGAGATTCCTTCTGCTGTTGCAAGGTTGGATCTTTGGCAGTGGATAATTCTGTAAATTTCCAGGATTAATCATGTGTAGGTGGGGATAATCCTGAAGGTTTCCAGTGCTGAAATGACCTACACTATGTAGCAAATGGAAACCCTCACCCTGGATTCTGTGTCGGAAACTCAGGCTTCCGTAGTTATTTTGGACCAGTATTGCATTTGGGCAGATTAAGTTCTACAAGCAAGTCCTTGCCATTTTTACCTTGCTCTGGTTTCTACTATGTGCCAGAGACATCTGAGAAGTACTTGATTTCTTGGGGAAAACAGGTTTTTATTTCCTAAGTCCTTTGGAAGTTTGTTCCAAGATAGGAAATGTGAAAGACTGCTTTCTTTAGGAAGTAATCTTTGAAACATCTGAGAATGGAATATATGTGTGGCATTCAGTGGGTCAAACCACGGCAGGACTGTGACTAGATCCCAGGTGCTTTGCCTCCTGCTGGCTTTGATCAGGCTAATAGCCCCAGGTAGGAAGAGCACCCTGGGCAGGAGAGGAGCAGAACCTACGCATTCATGTGTCTAGTGTTTCCTAATCTCAGAGCAGTTCTGAAGGAGCGCAGAGGCTCTACAGGACCTTTAGTGGAAACTCTCAAATGAGACAGTCTCAAGCAACTCCTTTCAAGCTACTGAGTTATGTTGTTTAAAATCATTTAAACTTCTGGTGATGGTTATACTTCCTCTTGAAGTGCATCTATGATTCAGACACCTAGTACCTGTCCAGAAAGTCCTGCCCAGTAGTTACCCTCCCTTTGATCCTCGTACAATCATTTCTGTGTCCCTGTCAGGTGTGAAGAGACCTCTGGAGAGGTCATCTCCTATTCCAAGCTAGACTGTTGCCTGAGTTTTACTTCCTAACATGCCTGCAGGCACCTTTTAACCTTGACTGGCACCTACAGCAGCAGAAACAGTCCATTCTACATGCACCCCGTCTGGGCTCAGTGCAGAAGCAGCTCCTTTGTCTGGGTTATGGTCATGCTGGTCTAGAGCCCTCCTTCAGATTACCACTTGCTGTTTTTCCAGGCTTTTGGTCCTCTTTAGCCACTTCTAATCCAGCTCTTTTTAAGGTGCTTCAGTCTGAGTTTCCTGATTATAAATCCACCCTCCGGGATTCTTTGTCCCTCAAATTCTGTTTGGGAGGATTTCCTGCAACACTGTGACCTTTCTTTACCCCGTTATCTGCCTGCTTACTTTTGTGCTACGTGTGTGCTTTTCTTTGCACATTTGAAGTGTTAGTGGAAAGCCAACTTTCTTTTTCAAATTCATTATTTGCTTTCTAGTCAAAATAAATGATTTATATGTAATAACAACAGTTTAGCATTTATGTAACAATTTAGGACTTGTCATCTCATACGAGGTGAACGTGCTTGTGTTGTACATGGAATATGTTGCTGAATTAGCACTTTAAATCAGATGTTTCTGGCTCCCAGCCCCCTGTATTCATGTGATGTCTGCAACCAAGTGACTTGGTTCCTGAGGTTGGAGATGAGCGTCAAGTTTATCCAACAGCTCAGGTAAATAGAAGGCTCTCACAAACTCAGGCCTTGTGCTGTAGGGATGCAATCTGGCCTTGGTCACACAGATACAGGAGCTGTTCTCTGTTTAGGAATACTGGTTGGACTGATTCTGGGTTGTGTTTTGTTCTGACTTTGTGCAAATCACTCAGTCTCTTTGTGTCACCATACCCCTTTCTGAACTGGTGCTAATAATGATCTTAGCACTCTCAGCTGATGTTAACTATTGACGGCGTGTGAAGCACTAGGTTTTCTGACTGTAGTTTTTATGTGACATAAAGTCTTAAAGCACTGCCATTGTAGGCTGCCGAGAACAACTCTAGAATGGAGTTCAGTAAATGCAGTGGCAGGGACTGGGCTCTTGAGATGCCTTTCAGGCTTGTGTGTGAAGGTAGAGCCAGCAAATTTAATTCTGTAGGGTAACCAATCTCACATTCCACCATTGAAAAATTTATTGTGTATAGATATATAAAAGGGTGAAAAAGAATGGGGAAGGGTATTGAGGAAGTTGAGGAATTGGAGATTTTTTTTTTTTCAGAAATGTTTTGTTTTGTTTTATTTTTAGGATGGAGAATCTTTATGTCAACCGTTTCATGCACATGTTCCAGTCCTCCTGGAGTGATTTTGCAGATTTTGAGAGTATCTTTGTCAGAATCAGCAACACAATTTCTGGTGGGTTTATCAACATTTGCTCATGTTTGCATCGTAGAATGACTAATTAGTTGTCTTGTACACGTACCTGATTAGGATGGAAGTGCTTGACCTGCACTTCTGCTGTCCCATGGTTTTTCATAAGTAAACTGTAACCTCAGACTGCGGGTCACACCAGCAGTCCACAAGACCGAAAAACAAAGCTATGATCTCACGCAAACTAAAATTACTGGGAATGGCTCAGTGACCTTCTCTGTCCTGAGCTATACTGGAGGTCAGGCCAGCTGGGCACTGTAGTCCCTTTTGGCTTTTAGAAATGTATTTTCAGATATGTGTAAGTCCCACAGGACAAATTTCCATAAGTATTTTGCATCTAAACCTAGAGATACCTTAGTGGGAGTGCTTTTCAGAGCGTAGTAGCTGTTAAGGCATTTTTGAAAGTTTGATTGTGTATGTCCCGCTTCAACCATCTAAATACATGGAAAATCTCCAAAGAGGCACGTTTGGAAATGTTCTTCGCTAAAGGCAAGGACGAGAGTGACCCCTCTTGCCTCTTATACAGACCAGATCAAAGGCTGTTGCCTAACATCCCGGCCATGTGCTCAGTCCTGGTTGCACTGCTGCTAGCAGTCCCAGCTTCTCGACCCTGCCCCAACACAGGGAGGGTACCACTGCCTCAGTTCTGCTGTCATAACCTCACCTGTAGCTCCCCTCAGTCGGTTCTCGTGGGCCATTTGTGTCAGTGACGAGTGTCATGTGACAGCTCGAATGTTTTTCAGTGGTAAATTTTTCCCAACAGGGGTCATTTTGACAGAACTCGTTTCAGGCATGAAAGCCCATGCTGTTAGGCCGACAGATCTGGGGATGGGTTGCAAAGAGCTAGGAATGAACTGGGAGCTGTAACTTCTTCACCTGGTCCTGCTGCAGCCACGATGGGCCGTCATACCACAACCAAGGAACTGTGGTTCTTATTGGAAATTAGTGCGAGCTAGGCCTGAAGAGGCTTGTGGCATTTATCCAAAATGTCATCTTTTCAAAAATCTGCCAGAATTAGTTGTGCATACTGCATTAAATGTCCTGCTGTGCTTGCTATTTCATACTCACATCCTCTTACTAGAAGACAAAAATCTCTCTCTAAGAGTGTGAGTTTCACTTTTGTATCCAGGGCCATTCAGTTTCTCCAGTATCTTTCATACTATTAAAACCTCCATTGATGTAGTATTAACATATCAAAGACAAAATACGTCTATTTTTTAACCCTTTTCAATATGGAGATCTTAGCAGTTACTTGAAAACCCAGTAAAAAGAATTGCAGACAGACATGGGTTTCAAAGTTCACGGTGTCATTTCTGTAAAGCAGGGCTGGGAAGCCTTTGATTTGTGAGCCAGACCCAACCTTCTACTATCACCCATGGTTACATTATTTTACTTTATTTTACTATATTATTGGATATAATAGATACACAGATACTATAAATTGGTTAGCATGTGGCTCCTCAAATGTGTGTGAATAGCCTGTTCAGACTCTGCAAAGTACTTTTCCCTCCTGCTCTGGAGTTTTGCTCCTCTTCAGGCTGCCTAAGGACCAGTTATCAGAAATAAGAGTAATTTCTGCAGTCTTGGGTATAAAATAAAGCACACAAGGTGGCCAGAGCTATTAAAAACTAATTACAGCAATTTGTTACATTTAATAAGATTGCTTCCTAAAGTACTTTTAACACAAGAATTAGATATGATCTACAATTAATTTAATTGATACATTTCCATACTCATGAGGAAAGCTCCAATTCTGTGATTTTTAAACATTAAGCATCGGTCTCAGTTATGTTAATGCAACTCTGAATCTGCTTATTTGCAAGCCTTGGCAGAAACAGGGCTAATGGAGAAGGTGGTTCAAAGCATTTTTCAGTCATGCAGTTTCTGTCCAAGGTGATGAGTCATTTTTTGCTTTGTGTAGACTTCAGATCCAGCTCCAGACTCATTATGCAATTGACAGAGATGATGTAAATGTCAACTTTAAGTAAACTTAACTTTTTTCTACTCTGTTAGAAAGCATTGGGAGTTTTGAGACTTTTTTGTTTTAAATTATCACTGCATTCCTTCAGGCCTATCTTTTTCATGCTTTCACCCTTTGTAGAAAAATAAATTGCTTTCAGAAGAAGTTCTGCCTTGCCTGAAAATAGGGAATAGTAAAAAACTTTACTTGCTTCATTTTCCCCTGAAGACACCGGTGGGATTTTTCACATTAATCATGTTTTTTCTGACTCTGAACTTGTAGGCTGAAGTGGCAACATGACATTATAAAACAGAAAATTGCAATTGTGGAAAACATCCAGTAGTACTACATATGTAATAGTAGGGAGATGGAGTACCTGAAACTAGCATTTTATTAAGAAGATATGTTAATCTGGGTTTATATTAGCAATTGAAAAATAGAGGGAAAAAAATATTAAGCAAACAAAACAGCCAGTGAGCAGTTTTACTAAGAAGCCCAAAATCAAAACCCTTCCCCAGGTACCCCTTACCCAGCTCCAGCTAAGAGAACTGCTCCAGCCACT